TAAAAGTTGGTAAAAATCTTCTATTTCCTCTTCCTTGGCTCTGGTTGTTGGTGCATATATCTGAATGATAGTGGTATTCACTGGTCTTCCTTGTATGCGTATGGATATTATCCTGTCACTCACAATATTGTACTTCAAGATGGATCTAGCAATTGCTTTCTTAACTATGAAAGCAACTCCATTTTTCCTCACCTTTTCATCTCCAGAGTAATATATCATATGATCATCCGACTCAAAATGCCCCATGCCAGTCCATCTCATCTCCCCAATGCCTAGTATGTCAATATTTATGCGTTCCATTTCTTCCTTAACAATATCTAATTTTCCTACATTCACGGTTCTCACATTCCATGTCCCAATCATTAATGTCTGCTTACAACTGTTCCTCTTTCTTTGTATTTCCATACCTGAAAGCTCAGCCTCAGTTGCCCTTTCTGTTATCTACATGTAGATAAAAGATTTACTGTAAAAAAAAAAATTGACTGCCTTGGAAAGCCTATGGGACCGTTTTCTATCCTATAGGGTCGCTATCGAAATTGATTGGACAGCAGAGTTAATAAAGCCAAGGGTTATAACCAGGCCTTCAAACCAGTTCATTCTAGTTCAACTTCCTGACACATAAAAATCACTTGAGGAACTTGTTAAAATGTAGATTCTGGTTCCATAAATTCTCACACTGAGTTATCCTGGGTGCCTATGAGAGGAGAGGCAACCCTGACTATTCCTGCTTTTTCCTCCAGTTCTGTGTCCCTTAATCTGTCACAATGGCGGAGTATGCATAAAGCCGGACCGCTGTCTCTGTCCCTCGGACTTCGCGGGCAAGTTCTGCCAGCTGCACTCCACGGGTGCCCGGCCCCCTGCCCCAGCCATGCCAGGTCTCACCCGCTCCGTGTACACCATGCCACTGGCCAACCATCGAGATGATGAGCACGGTGAGGCGCGTGCAGCCAGAGCTCCCTCCCTTTGACCTTCTGCCCCGTGCCTTGCATATTCTCTGACTTCCTTTTTTGCCTTCCCCTGAGTACCAATCCCTAGCTCCTCTGCGCACCTATTCCTAGCCGCTGTCCCTAAGATCCTATGTATATATCCTTTTGCCTGGCTCCTGCCTCCTGACAGGCGTGGCGTCCATGGTTAGCGTCCACGTGGAGCACCCGCAGGAGGCGTCAGTGGTGGTGCACCAGGTGGAACGTGTGTCCGGGCCTTGGGCGGAGCCTGACCCCGAGGCCCTGGCGCGGGCGGAGGCGGCAGCGCGGGCGGAGGTGGCGGCGCCCTACACGGTGTTGGGACAGAGCGCGCCCCGCGAGGAAGGCTACTCCGATGGGTCGGGCTATGGTTACTGCTTTCGGGAGCTGCGCGGAGGCGAAGTGAGAGGCGGCCAGTGGGGCGGGGCCTGGGGCGTGCCAGTGCGCGGGGCGCGCGCTCACCCCATACTTGTCCACAGTGTGCGTCCCCACTGCCCGGCCTACGGACACAGGATGTTTGCTGTGGAGGAGCTGGCTTGGCCTGGGGGGTTCATGACTGTCAGCCTTGCTCAGAGCACCTGGGTAAGTAAGGAGCTTGTGGGAGCTGAGAGTCGTTAGAACCCCGCTGCTCCCCTGACCCTGTCCATATTTAAACCATATGCTTAGATTCTAGACACGCCCATTCCGTGGCGGTAAGGATTTCCAATTTAAACTTCTCCGTAACGTTCTGAGACGACCCACCCCCTACATCTGACTTTCTTCGCTCAGTTTTCAGTCCATCTTTGTGCTTTGGCTTCACCCACTGGTTTCTAGAATTTCCCAAGATGCTCTCTCAGATCTCTCACCTCCGGCTGGTCGTGGAACCGAATTACCACCAACACTTTTCAGTAGCTTCCTCCCCACCTCTGCCTTGCGCCCATACGTTCTCGATCCGGCCTTCATCCATTCCCAGGGGCTTTCTCCTCTCTCCACAGGGAACTCCGACCCCAGCAGGCCCTGTCCAACAGGCTTTGAAAGGGTTAATGGAACCTGTGAAGGTGAGATGGGAAGTGAACGTGTTAAGAGTGAGACAAGGGGGCAGGGCTTTGCTTTGAGGGCGGACTGTGTTTACTGACCTAAATGTCACCCCCACATCACTTCCAGATGTGGATGAGTGTGCGACAGGGGGGCGCTGCCAACACGGGGAGTGTGCAAACACACGCGGCGGGTACACGTGCGTGTGCCCCGACGGCTTCCTGCTCGACTCATCCCGCAGCAGCTGTATCTGTGAGCCAAATCAGATCCCTTACTCGCTGCAGTGCCCTCCATCCTCTCAGAGCTCCCATCCTACACCCTAGCCCTCTCAGATCCCCTTCAAAATGCTTCCACCCTCTTACGTCAGCCTCCCAAGACTTTTTTCAGATTCAGCTCAGAACCACTCAAAAGATTTTGGACTCACAGGTCCCTTTAGATGCACAGACCTTCTAAAGCTCTTCTCAGATACTAGTCTCCCCAACCCCCTTAAACCACCAAACCATCTTCAGACCCTCATATCTCTCTCATACCACCTCGGGGTCCCCATGCACTTCTCAGAACCTCCAAGCTCCTGTCAGGTCTCCCCCAGATCCTCTGGGATTTGTTCTTCACATCCATCAAAACCTCCTTGGGATCATTCCCTGCTTGTCACATCCCTCAACTCTGCCAGTTCCGGAGCCCTGTTCTTACCGCTTTCCTTTCTGCTTCCTGTTCCCCAGCTCAGCACGTGATCTCAGAGGCGAAGGGGCCTTGCTTCCGGGTGCTTCGCGATGGTGGTTGTTCGCTGCCCATCCTGCGCAATATCACTAAGCAGATCTGCTGCTGTAGCCGAGTGGGCAAGGCCTGGGGCCGAGGCTGCCAGCTTTGTCCGCCCTTCGGCTCAGGTGATCGCCTCTTGCCCTGCCTGACCCCAGAATCTACGATACTACGCATCCCTGCCTCCAGACCCTGGCGGCTTGCTGCTAGCAGTCGAGAAAAACAGTCATTCTCAAACAGAATATCTCCTCAGCCACTCCTCTATGATTGGCCCCAACCCCCCATACCCCACTTTCACCAATTCCAATATAGGCCCCGCCCCAGACAGGCTTCTCCCATACGGGCCATCTTAATTTCTTCCTAAACCCAAACCGCATAACGAAACTATTTCCTGACTTCCAACTTATAAAAAAGGTCACTGATAGCCCCCAAACCAGATTTCACTCTCAAACCAGCCCTCCAGCCCCAATCCCACGTCTTTCATTGTTCTCCCCAAAGAAGAGAAACACCCTTTGCCCCACTTAGCCTGTGAGACCTCCCCCCTTTTTTTTGGCCAGGGGCCCACCACATTCTCTACATCCCCCTGACACATTCTGGGGCCACTAGTCCAAGATGCCCCCCCCCATTCCCCTGTCTCTCTCCCTTTCTTGTTCCCAGAGGGTTTTCGAGAGATCTGCCCTGCTGGCCCCGGTTACCACTATTCGGCCTCTGATCTTCGCTACAACACCAGACCCCTGGGCCAGGAGCCACCCCGGGTATCTATCAGTCAGCCTCGACCCCCTCCCACCACTTCTAGGCCGCCTTCAGGTGAGCTGACTTCTCAGAGCAGATGTTGTTTCTCAGAGGCTATCCAAGCCTCCTAAGGAAAGAAGAGAGCAGCAGGGACATCTGAACCCAAATTCCCAGTCATAATAACCCCTTCTTCCCGTTCTGCCTACCCATGCCTAGAGCGTCGACCTGAACCCAGGCCTGAACCCAGACCTGAGCAGAGACCAGATCCCAGACCTGATCGCAGACCTGCAGAGCCCAGACCTGAGCACAGACCACCAGAGGCCGGACCTGATCGCAGACCGGAGCTCAGACCTGCACAGAGACCAGATCCCAGACCTGATCGCCGACCTGCAGAGCCCAGACCTGAGCTTCCCCTGCCCAGCATTCCTGCCTGGTCTGGTCCTGAGATCTCCGAATCAGGTGCCACAGAGGGATGGTCATTGAAGAGGATATGACTGGCAGGAACTGTTGAGGAGAAGGAATGGGGGAATAGGGAGGCTACACACAGGCAGACGGGTTAATGAATGGGTGGGAGGAGATAGATGTTTGATGGTTTGAGTGGTGATGAATGAGAAGTTGGAGTTGGACAGACCAGAGGTCAAGTCCTGCATCAACTCAAAATGGAAAAACTCAAACTCATTGATTGGAGTTGGACTCCACTCACAACTGACCCTCCAGGTGGTTTATGGAGGTTGTAAATAGTGAGGGAGGAGATTATGAATCGTCCTCGTAAACTGCCAGAGGCTTGGGTTAAGCAGCTCAGTGCCCTGCAGATCGTGTCACCAGACTGCATGGAAAAGACATTTCCCCTTTCTGAGTCTCATTCAACTTTTTTGTCAATTATGTTCATCTTTTAAACTTCTCTGCATCTCACTTTTCTCATCTGTAAAGTAGAATTCATTTTGAGGATGCATCGAGCTGTCTGAAGTGTCTGGGACAGACAATGTGCCTAGATAATTTTAGACACAAAGCGTCACAGCTAGAGGGTTGGAGTGGCATTGTGGGAGATTCAGGTAGAGCATCCCAGGAGGGTGTTCCTGACTGAGGGGGACAGCAGAGGTTAGGACTTGAGGTGGGGGGGGGATCGGTGGAGAAGCTGACCAGAGCTTGCAGGGAATAGCATGACCCCTGAGAGGCAGGTTAGGCTTGGGGAGAGAAGGTTGATGAAGGAAGGTCTTTCAGGCAGGGAATTTGAGAGATTGTTCTGGGATGAACGGGACAGAAGATTCAGAGATGAAGAACCCTGTATTGACTAACCCCCCTAGGTCGCTCCGTGTGTCAGCGTAATCCCCAGATCTGCGGTCCTGGACGCTGCATCCCTCGCTCCAGTGGCTACACTTGCGTGTGTGACTCAGGTTTCCGGCTCAACCCCCAGGGCACCCATTGCATCGGTGAGCCGGGTGGAGTGGGGGTGGACAGAGACGGGGCGGGGACTCTGCCTGGTCACCCTTTAACCAGCCCCCTGGGCGCGTGCCCGCAGACATAGACGAATGTCGCCGCGTACCCACGCCCTGCTCTCCTGGACGCTGCGAGAACGCCCCAGGGAGCTTCCGCTGCGTGTGCGGCCCGGGCTTCCGAGTCAGCCTGCGAGCCACCGAGTGCCTGGGTGAGAAGCCTGTTCCGTCATCCCTACTGCTTTCCCTAAAGACCCGCTTCCGCCGGGTCTTCTCCTCCCACCGTGCCTCTGCTGTCTAGTGACTCCAGCTACGTCCTCTCCCGCAGTCCCACTACTGACCTGCATCCAACCAGGATCCCGTCCCAGCTCCACCTCCCCGTTGGCCCCGCCCCCCCTTTGTCCGGGACTGGTCCCGGCCTCCCCCTGACTCAGCCCCTCACCTTACATCTGCTTCTGCCAATACCGTGCTCTCAACCCAATTCCACGCCTGCCACCCCAGTGCACTGTCTCAAAACGGTTCCTTCTGCAACTTTACTCTTGCCTTCCCTTTGCCCAGTCCCCAAATCAGCTCTTTCAGGCCTATCCTTCCATTCGTCCCCTCTCACTGGCCCCTATCTCTGCCCCCACCTGGCCAACCTGCAGCCATGTTCTGCCTTCCCGGGTCTTGGATTCCCCTGTCCCCCTGCCCCTGCCTGAGCCCAGACGTGGCCCTGCCCTGGCCTCCCTGGGGATTGTTGGCCGCTTGCCCGGTTTTGTGCTTGCAGACGTGGACGAGTGCCACCACGTGCCCACGCCGTGTGACCGCGGGCGCTGCGAGAATACCCCCGGCAGCTTCCTGTGCGTGTGCCCTGCTGGTTACCAAGCCGCGCCACACGGAGCCAGCTGCCAGGGTGAGAAATTGGAAGAGAGAGAGGAAGGGAACCTTGGAGAGAAAAGTGGAGAAACAAATGGTGGGGGCAGGAGGGACTGAGAATAGGGCCCAGGGAGGCTGACTGACCCAGAGGCCAAGTTTTGAGAGGCAGCAGAGTAGTCTGGTGGGGATTGTAGATGATGTTATGTGGATGAGCAGAGGCTGAGTCGCATCTATGGAGAAGCAGAGGAGTGGGGCGTGGAGGTGTCAAGTCCCAAGCAAGGGGAGGCCTCAGTGATGGGAACCAGAGGAGAGGTAGGCTGAGAATGGGGCAGGTAGTTTACTAGGGATTGGAAATGTAGAGGGGTGGAGAACAAGCGAGACTGCTAGACCAAAAGAGGCAGAGGGATGGCCAGCAGGAGGACAGAATGGTGGAGGATGGAGACGATGGAGATCAAGGAGGCAGGGTGGAGTTCTTGGGGGTCCTTAGAAGGACCATGACCTCCAGCCTTTATCTTGAGTAGATGTGGACGAGTGCACTCAAAACCCAGGCCTGTGTGGCCGTGGTGTCTGTGAGAACTTGCCTGGCTCTTTCCGCTGTGTTTGCCCGGCTGGCTTCCGGGGCTCAGAGTGTGAGGAAGATGTGGATGAGTGTACCCAGGAGCCACCCCCCTGTGGGCCAGGGCGCTGCGACAATACAGCTGGCTCTTATCACTGCGCCTGTCCTGCTGGCTTCCACTCTCAAGGGCCAGGGGCCCCCTGCCAAGGTGAGGGTGCCAAGTCCAACCCAGCTCTGCTAATGAAGTATGCTATGGGGACTGGAGTGAGGCGTTCCTGGGGGGGGGGGCGGGCAAGGAGGTTAATGATGGAGAACAGGGTTGCAGTGATGGCTACTGAGAAGGATGGGAAGGGGCTAGCCAGAGTCTTCTTTCTTGAAAATGTGCATGTTCTCCATGACTCTTCCTTTCCTGCAAGATGTACTTGTGGGAACCCAAAGAGACTCTGATGCTGGGAAGGTGGCCCAGGAGAGATAGTACCTTAGCCTCACCTGGCATGGGAGAGAAAAGAAGGGAGGGGCTTATTCTTCCAGGAAGAGGGAGCAGCTCAGGCCAAGTCCAGGAGGCTGGATCAAAACTAGGATGCTGGAGTAGGTGGTGATGGTAATGGGGATGGGTCCAGGCCCCATCCTCAGCCCCATCAGCTCCCTCTGCCTCAGACGTGGATGAGTGTGCCAGCAGCCCTCCGCCCTGCGCCTATGGCCGTTGTGAGAACACAGAAGGAAGCTTCCAGTGTGTCTGCCCCACGGGCTTCCAACCCAATGCAGCTGGCTCCCAGTGTGAGGGTGAGGCCAGGGAGGAAGAGAGGGAGGCAAGGGGTGGGGGTGATGGGCCACTCCCTCAATGTCACCTTCTCTCCTGCCTCACAGACGTCAATGAATGTGAGAATCACTTGGCGTGTCCTGGACAGGAGTGTGTGAACTCGCCAGGGTCCTTCCAGTGTAGGGCCTGTCCTGTTGGTCACCAGCTACACCGTGGCCAATGCATCGGTGAGACCTGACCCCAGACTATGGACATGACCTTGGACCTATGTCATTATGCCCCTGATTTGGACCACAATCCTGACTTGGCCCTTGATCCCCTGACACTAAATGTGACTCTTGCCTCTGTGATCCATGGGCCCTGAAAGTAACATTTAACCCTGACTGTGATCTCTGCATACTCCTGACCATGACTTTCAGGGCAGTTATAATACTCCTGGCCCTGAATGTGACTTGTCACCTCAGACTGTGGCATTTGACCTTGACATAGCCTTTGACCATAATCTTGCCCACACCACAATCCCCTCTTTAATCCCTGATTGTGTCTCTTTTATGGTCCCTATTTCTTCTCAGAGAGCCATCCCAGGTACGTGATGGGGTTTATGACCTCTGGCCCTTGACTCAAGGCACAATTTCAGACCCTGATTGTAACCTTGATGCTAAAATGGGTCCACTTATCCTGGTCTATAATGCCTGAGCCCTTAACCTAACTAAGGACAACATGTTTTCTCTTAGCTAAATGTTCAGTGATTCAAATCTACTGGCTACTCTGAGGGAAAAGATTTGTATTTTTTCCCATAACGATTTACAGTTTTGGGAATCTAAAGAATGGTTACTATGACCAACAGTGGGTTTTTAGCCTAAGTAATTTCTGACCCATTTCTCAATTTGGAAGGAATCGTTACGCAGTGGTTAAAGTATTTGTCTGCCAATCAAAAGGTTGGCAGGTTGCTTCCATTAGGATTACTCTGCCCTAAAGAGTATTCCTGTGAATGGGATCAATTTGATAGCAGTGGAATGATTGTGTTTGTTACTATCCAGGGTTCCCTCTTATATTTTAATGATCTTGGCTCAAGGAGTTCCAGAAACCTAGGCCCACAGGACTCCATTCAGAATCCCAAGAACTGGAAAACCTGGGATTTGCCACGTTTTCACTCTTGTCGCCATACCAAGACACTACCCAGACCCCTTAGCCCCAAAGGGAACCATCCAGCATATTCCCAAATCAGCCCACTTCTGGAGCTTGCTCTTCTACAGATGTGGACGAGTGCAGTTCTGGCGCCCCCTGCGGCCCTCACGGTCACTGCACTAACACTGAAGGATCCTTCCACTGCAGCTGCGCTCCAGGCTACCGGGCCCCCTCTGGTCGGCGCGGGCCCTGTGCAGGTGGGTCGAGTGGGGCTAATCGGAGAATCTGTAGGCCTGGTCTGCACCAAGCCTGTTAGAAACATGAAACTGATCCTAGAGATCAATGAGTGGAGCTTGGAAAGCGATCATTTGGGCTGTCGCTTATGGAAGGGGTTTCGGCTTTGCAGGACTTGTCCACTGACCCTCAGCCCTGTCCTTTGTATGCCCTAGATGTGAACGAGTGTTTGGAAGGAGACTTTTGTTTCCCCCACGGCGAGTGCCTTAACACTGATGGCTCTTTTGCTTGTACCTGTGCTCCCGGATATAGGCCTGGACCCCGCGGAGCCTCCTGTGTGGGTGCGTACTAGGGCTGAGCTTGGACTAGGAAGGGGCGGGCTCATCCTAGGAAAAAGACAAGAAGAGAAAAACTGAATGAGGAGTCTGAATTTTTGTCTATTGTGTGTGTTTCTAGGTGTGTGTATGTGTATATACAGATATATACAGTTTAGTAAGCTATGGGGGCGGGGCTTGTGTGAGCCTTGAGATTTCAATCAGGCAGTGGAAAAACAGCTCTCAGGGCTGTGAGCCTCCTGGGGGCGGAGCTTCTCGGGGGCGGAGTCGGGGGTGGGTGAGCTGGATGATAAGCAGATGAGGAGGCGGGGCCTCGGCTCCAAGGGTCTCACTGTCGGCAGATGTGGACGAGTGCAGCGAAGAAGACCTTTGCCAGAGCGGCATCTGCACCAACACTGACGGCTCTTTCGAATGTGTCTGTCCTGCGGGCCACCGAGCCAGTCCTGACCTCGCTTCCTGCCTCGGTGAGAGGCCCCGGCCCGACCAGATCCCAGTGCCTCGCCAACTCCCTCTTGCCTCTCACCTGTCTCCACCTCTGCTGGTATCTCTCTTCTCATTTCCTGCTTCCCCCGCCTCTCTTTGCCACTCAGATCTCTCCTTCTCAGCCTCCTTCCTCCCTCTTCTCCACGGTCTGACTCTCCCACCTCCCTTCTCTTGCCTCCGCCCTTAGATGTGGACGAATGCCGGGAGAGGGGCCCAGCCCTGTGCGGGGCCCAGCGCTGCGAGAACTCCCCGGGTTCCTACCGCTGTGTCCGCGACTGCGACCCCGGCTACCACGCGGGCCTCGAGGGCACTTGCGACGGTGAGAATACCACGGGGTCTGTCTCAGTGCGTCACAGAACCCCACAGAACTGGCTTCTCATCTTAACTCCATTGAGTTTTTGGGCTTTTTGGTGTGGGGGTGCACACTTCGCTTCCAGAAGCAGGCAATTAGACTCCTTCTGACAGTAAGATTTCTTGGGCTCCACTCTTTCCAGTCTTCTCTCTTCTTACGTTAAATTTGGAGCAGATTCCCTCCTCACCCCTCTCACCACTTCCTCCTCTCCTAGTTATACCCTAGATACCCTAGGCCCATTCTTTTCTCAATGAAAAATCCCAGGGGTTCCTCCAAGCTCACTGACCTCTGCCCCTTAAATTCCTCCCTTCCATGTTCCATTCATCTCCGCGCCCTTTCTCCAGCTTTTACCTCTCCTGGGCCCCAGGCCCTTCCCTCATCCTCTTCCCTTTCTTTCTATGACACTTCCCCTCCAGCTCCAGGCTTCACCAGGGTTCTCATACTGGACCAGAGTGATCTAAGATGTTTGGGAATCTTGTGTGGGTCCGAATGTTTTTGTGGAACAAATGAGACAAACCGCTGTGGACTGCCTTTGGCTCTCTGCTTGCCTGGCTCAGAAAAACTTCATTTCATGGGCTCTCATCCATTAACTCCACAGGAATTCATTAAGCATCTGCTGTGGGACTTGGGGCACAACAGGCAGTGGGTCAAGTACTGGTCTAGTTTTCACTGAGCTGACTTTCTAGAGGTGGGGGCAGACAATAAATCAATCAGTAAACTCGAGATTTATCCAATAGAGAATTGTAGGATAGCTGCTGTGTTAGGCACTGTTCTAGTCCCTGGGAATACAACAGGAACCAGACAGGGAAACAAACAAACAAAACTCCAAACAAAACAACTCTCCCTTTAAGGAATTTGCATTCTAGCGCATGCAGCAATGGACAAACCAGTAAAAATATTAATATTGTTGTAATGTTTCAGTGAGTCAGAGCCGACTTATAACTGCTCCTTTAATGGGTTTTCATTGACAGTAAATTGCACAAGAAAAGATTTCTCATTTTTCTCTCATGGAACAGCTAGCTGATAGACTTAAAGGGGTGCCTTTGGATTGGCACTGCAACTCTTCATCATTAAGCCACCAGAGCTCCCTGAATAGAATATATATAATGTCAAGTTGGTGCATAAATTTGAATGATAGTGGTATTAACAGGTCTTCCTTGTATGTGTATGGATATTATCTTGTAACTCACAATATTGTATTTCAAGATGGACCTAGAGATGGCCTTTTTAACCATGAAAGCGACCTCATTTTTTTCCTCTCCTTTTCATCTCCAGCGTAGTAGATTATATGATCATCTGATTCAAAATGTCCCACATGGAGGACATTTCCATCTCATCTCATTAATACCGAATATGTCAATATTTATGCATTCCATTAATTAATTTTTAAACAATGTCCAATTTTCCTATATTCATGCTTCTCACATTCCATATTCTAATCATTAGTTTCTGCTTATAATGCTCTTCCTTTGAGTTTCCAAATTTGAGGGCTCAGCCTCAATTGCCATATCTGTTATTTTACTCTGAGTGTGTTCTATTGTACATAGGGTTTTCAAAGGCCTGATATATTTTGGAAGTGGATAGCCAATCCTTCTTCCTTCTTGTTGTTGTTGTTGTTATGTGCTGTCGCTTGCGACTCATAGCGACCCTATGTACAACATCCCTAAATTCTGCTCTGTCCTGTGCCAATCGCACTTTCTCTGACACTCCCAGTCACTGAATCAATCCACCTTATAGAGGGCCTTCCTCTCCTGCGCTGTCCCTCCACCCTCCCAAGCATGATGTCCTTCTCCAAGGACCGGTCTCTCCTCACAACATGTCCAAAGTATGTTAGATGGAGCCTCAGAATCCTTGTCTCCAAGGAGCCACCCGGTTTAACCCTTTCCAGGACGAATCTGTTTGTTTTCCTAGCAGTCCATGGTATTCTCAGTACTCTTCTCCAGCACCACAGCTCAAAGGCATCAATTCTCCTTCTATCCTCCTTGGTCATTGTCCAACTCTCTGATGCATAACAAGTGATTGTGAAGACCATGGCCTGTATCAAACGCACCTTAGTCTCCAGAGAGACACTATTGCTCTTCAGTACCTTGGAGAGGTCCCTGACAGCAGACTTTCCCATGGCAATGCGCCTTTTAATTTCCTGGCTATGGGTGCCAAGAGTGTTGACTGTGGAGCCAAGCAAACTAAAGCTGTGAACAATCTCAATCTCCTCACCATCCATCCTGATACTGCCAATTTAATTTGTCCAGTGGTGAGAATCTTTGTCTTCTTGACATTGAGCCTCAATCCATATTGGAGACTGCAGTCCTTGACCCTCTGCAGCAGGTGCTTCAGGTCCTCCTCAGTTTCAGCAAGCAGGGTTGTGTCATCTGCATAACGCAGATTGTTGATAGATCGTCCACCAATCTTGACCCCACATTTCTCCTCATAGAGCCCAGCCTCCCGGATAATCTGTTCTGCATACAGGTTGAAAAGGTATGGAGATGGGATGCATCCTTGGCATACTCTCTTCCCAATTTTGAATCATGCAGTGTTCCCTTGTCTGTCTTAATTTAGATGTGTAGTTTTAGACTAGTATCCGACAGACAAGCATTTTACTGATGACGCTTTCCGTACTGAAATAACCAACATGTTAGTTGTCCCCCCACCCTCTACCCAAGTATGTGTGACAAGTACCTTCCCTTTTCCTCCTATATCAGCACTCCTTGCACTCCTGCCTACCAGGTCTAGCACTTCCCTTAGGCCACAAGTCACTTCTGTGATATCTTGCACCACACACTTCTACTGGTCTCTCATGCAGTTGCGTGTCTTGTATTTAGGAGGATGTAAGTCCAAATCCGATGTGCCAGCTTCAGGGAAAGATTTTTGCCTGAGGCAGTACTGGGAAAATCTTGCTCCAGATCTTCAGCTGCATGACTGTCATTTTGTACTTAGTGTCTCTGCTCTTCCTTTTGCACCACAGTGCCATCATAGTGAGATAATTTCCAAGGTGAGTGTAGGTCTCCTCTAAGTCTGGTATGCTACTGTTGTTTATTTGGATAGGTGGAGAAGAGATTGAGGTTGTTAACAATTACAGCTTGCTCGGCTCCACAATTAACACTCTTAGCATAAGCAGTCAGGAATCAAAAGATGAATTGTGTCGGGAAAATTCGCTGTCAGGAACCTCTCCAGAGTTCTGAAAGCAGTGATGTCAGTCTAGAGACTAGATACATCTGGTCCAGGCCATGGTCTTTGCAATTACTTGCTATGTATCAAAAGGCTGGACAATGACTAAGGATGACAGAAGAAGAATAGAAGCCTTCGAGTTGTGGTGCCGAAGATGAGTCTTGAACATACCACCAAGAAAAATAAGTCTGTCTTAGAGAGGGTGAAATCAAGTTTCTCCTTGGAGGCTAGGATTTTGAAGCTCCATCTCACATACTTTGGGTATGTGTCCAGGAGTGACCAATCCTTGGAGAAGGACATCATGCTCAGTAGGATGGAGTGATGGTGCAGAAAAGGAAGAAAACTCTAGATGAGATAGATTGATACAGTAACTGGGGCAATGGGAGTTTTGTGTGTCACAATCAGTGAGACTGGCTCAGGACAGGGCAGGCTTCAGAGCTGCTATACATAGGGTTGCTATGGATCGCAGGTGACTCAATGGCACCTAAGCAGTGTCAAGTTTAGTGAATTCTGATGGCCTGGTGGTAAGGAGCTGAACTGGCAGCGCAAAAGCATGTGGTTCAAATCCACCAGCTACTCTGCAGGGGAAAGATGTGCAGTATCCTCTTGTGTGATTTATCGCCTCTGAAAACCCACTGGAGGCTTGGCTGTGAATTAGTTCCAACTCAATGGTGCGTAATAACAATGTCAAGTTAAGAAGCTCTGGTAAGAGTTCAAATCCATGGGCTGCTGTGTGGGAGAAAGATGGGTCATTTCCTCCCATAAAGATTTACAGCCTCCAAAATTCAGTAGAGGATTGCTGTGAGTTGGGATTCATTTAATGACAGTGAGTTTGGTTTGAAATGTCAAGGTGAAGAAAACGTAGGTAAGTGGACAGGAATGACAGGGCATTTGGGGTGTGATGCTAGGGCACCCTGATCACGATATATTGGTGAAGTGAGGGGTGGAGCTTAGAGAGGGTGTTCCTGGCATAGGAAGCATCAAATGCCTTGAAGCAAAACCAGTTTTGGGCTGTTCAAGAGACGCTGATAAGGCCTTATTATTTTCAGCACTCATTAATCCTTTAGAAGTTCAGACTTGTGGGACATCAAAGATTTCCACTGCATGAGAACAAGAAGTAGGATTGGAGACTTGTGTAAATTTAGGCCTGTGACCTTGTTTTCCTGACTCTCTTGCAGATGTGGACGAGTGTCAGGAATATGGCCCCACTATCTGTGGAGCCCAGCGCTGTGAAAATACCCCTGGCTCCTACCGCTGCACACCGGCCTGTGACCCCGGATATCAGCCCACACCAGGCGGTGGATGTCAGGGTGGGTGTCCAGCACTGCTGGGTGAGATGTGGTGGGACAGAGAGGGCTCTGCATCCATGTGACTTCCTGGTGATTACAGATGTGGACGAGTGTCGGAACCGATCCTTCTGCGGGGCCCACGCCATGTGTCAGAACCTGCCGGGCTCCTTCCAGTGCCTCTGTGACCAGGGCTACGAGGGGGCGCGGGATGGGCGCCACTGCGTGGGTACGGGGCTCCAGGGAGTGGGTGGTGTTTGGGTGGTCGGGCTCTGCTCTTGTCCATAGGACTTTATAGTTGTGGAATTTAGACCTTTAAGATCATCTCATCAGTTAGGATTATCTAGTTGCAAGCGAACGAAGCTCTATTTATACACATTTAAACACCTTCTCAAAAAAACCCTAAATAAATTCCTATTTTTATTGTTAGGAAGTTGAGCTATTAACCCAAAGGCTCTACCTCTCTGGCAGTTCAAATACACTATGGGCTCTGAAGGAGAAAGATCAACAGTCTCCTCTCGTATTATTTTATACATTCTCAGAAACCCAGTGGAATGTCAGCTATGAGTCGATTCTGACTCAACTGGCAAAGGGTTCAAGGGTTTCTTTTTAAAAAATTGTATCTTAAATGTCTATAAATGTGCTTTTTTAAAAAATCACAACATTTTTATGAAGAAAACAAAACATACAGCAAAGTGAATTTTAGGATGAACGCCTGTGCTTGTCCACCCATGCATGGCCTCGCTTCTGTCATCACCATGTTGCTTTGGGTGGTGTGCTGCCTACCCACTGGCACACAGTTTGAATCCACCAGTTGTTCCATAGGAGAAAGATGGGCAATCTCCTGTGCAGTTGACTGAAGACCCACCAGAGGGTCACCTATGAGTCAATTCTGCCTTGGCAGTATATAACATGCTTGATTCAAGGAGCCCCGTGCATGCAATGGTTAAGTGCTCCAGTGCTAATGAAAATGTTGGTGATTCAAATCCACCCATAGCTGTCCAGCAGAAATGACCTGGTGATCTGCTTGCATAAAGTCTGTAGCCTAGGAAACCCTATGGGGCAGTTCTATTCTGTCTTATAGGGTCAATATGAGTCAGCATTGACAAGTCAACACACAAGTCATTAACTATACTTAATATGTGTTTAGGTAGCTCTGTACTTTATGGCAAGGAATCACGTTACCAACCGCAAGGCACATGGTTCAAATCCACCAGTTGCTCTGGGGGAGAAAGATGGGCAGTCTCCTCCAGTACAATTTACTTCCTCTGAAAATCCACTGGAGGGTCAGCTATTAGTCGGTTCTAGCTTGACAGTACACAACAACAATACGTGTTTATAAATATTTTCATGTGTGAATCTTAGATGTGCTTGCATTTATCAAAATTTAGCAAGCACAACAGATGATATTAATTTTTTTTATTATGGTGAGAAAAGTTCGTATTTACAATTAGCCAGCTGGACTCAGCTTAGATGATCACAATTTGGTTGGCAACATCCAAAGCACCATAGTCAGCAGTAAGTTGAACACAGGCCTTCTTCCCTCCATCAGGCCGAATCAGAGTGTTGACCTTGGCCACGTCAGTGCCACAGAGCTTCTTTACAGCTTGTTTGATTTGGTGCTTGCTGACCTCAACATCCACAGTAAACACAAGTGTGTGTTATCTTCTCTCTTCTTCATGGCTGACTCAGTGGTCAGGAGAAACTTGATGAGGCATAGTGGCATTGTTTCTCCTGGGGACACTCTTCCAGGGGTATTTGGGCTGTCTTTGGCATCTCAGCGTCTTAGGCCACCAGAAGGTAGGTGATGTGCAGATCGGGAAGGACAGGGGCTTCCTTCTTCACTTTTGGTAACATCTTTTATAGAAAGGCCAGGTTATATGCTTTACAGAAAAGATTTAAAACTGCAAAGTCTGAGCTTCAGGCATAGCTGGATCCAGGATTTTAACCAAGGTGGCTGCTGTCTCCATCCCTCAACTCTGCTTTCCTCTATAGGGTTTATTTTCAGGCAGACCCTTTTCGTGACAGTGATGGTCCTAGAACCTCTGAGTTAACATCCTCATCTTGGCAAACCTAGGGTTCTAGAACCTGTTGCTGTTGTGCTAATTCTAACGTAAAGTCAAGAATGGGATAGAACAACCACAGCGGTTTTTCAAGGCTGTACTATACATCTTTATTCAAGCAGATGGCCACATCTTTCTACTGCAGACTGGTGTGTTTCAACTGCCAAGCTTCGGCTGCCAAACGTTTAATCATTGCATCATCAGGACTCCATCAGCTAACGAGGAAGTCTCTTTTTCAATATTTATAGCAAAAGTCCCAGCTTTTGATTGGCCCAGTTTTCTCTGAACTGGAGAAATGCAGCAATCTGACTGGCTGTGCCCAACGCTTGTGCCCACCCCTATACCTGTGTGGGTTGAAAGTGGGAACAGCTGGGTGTCTCAAGGGAAACTCAGGGTGTATGCCAGAGAAAAGGGAAGGGAATGTGGCTTTTAAGAATACCCATTATATTTGAAAGCTTAGATTCCCATATCTTCGGAACCACAGATGTTTAGAAGCATTGATTCAATCCTTTTCCCTGTTGCCTCTGTTCACAGATGTGAATGAGTGTGAAACACTACAAGGCGTGTGTGGTGCTGCCCTGTGTGAGAATGTGGAAGGCTCCTTCCTCTGTGTCTGCCCCAACAGCCCTGAGGAGTTTGACCCCATGACTGGACGCTGTGTTCTTCCACCTCGAAGTGCTGTTGGTGAGACTGATGTCACTGTCTATTTAAGTGATGGCTGGTGGCACAGTGGGTAATCGGATCAGGTTGCTTACTGAAAAGTCAGAAGTTGAAGTCCACTAGGCGATCAACTAGAAACAGAAGGCCATTCTCTTCCTGTAAAGTTTCAGAGCCAGATCTGACTTAATGGCAGTGGGTTTGGTTTTTGTTTAATTGTTGACTGACCCTACAGGAAAACAGTGTGGCTTAATGATCCCTGTTGGAGAACAACCACCATTTAAATGTCATTTTCAACAAATCAAACTTTAGAACACAGGGTCTAGAACTTGAACTAGATCCTGGCCCTGCCTATATTATATTTTTCCATTTAGCAAATGTTCACTGTGTGGACAGAGTACTGACTGTGTAGTGTGGTGGGAAGAAGCACGAGCAGACAGCAGCTGCCCAATATAATCAGGGCTGGGAAGGCGGTAGCACAGGCCAGAGGGAACAAAGCTGTAAGAGGGAAGATCTATGAGTTCAGGAAATTCAGAAATGTGCTTGTTACAGCCTGAGAGGAGGATTTTGGAGGACTTCCTTTAGGACAGGATGTCTGAGCCCAAGCAGGGATATGAATAGAAGTTAAGTAGGCAAATGAATGAGGGAGGGCATTTTGGACCGAAGACGCAGCAAGAGCAAAGGTCTGCAAGGTAGGTTTGGTACCTAATGTGTTTGAGGAATTCAAAGAAGTTCAGTGTCACTTGATTTTGAGAGTAAGGGAAGGAGTGGGGAGAGATGAAACTGGAGAAACTAGCAGGGATTAGCCAGTTCTCACCTGCCTGGAGCTCTGGCTTTGCCTGAGGGCATCTTGCCTCCATAGAAGGCTCTTAAGCGGGAGAGGACTGTGATATGATTTTAAAACTTCCCTATGACTGCTGTGTGAAGATGGACACTAGGTGTGAAGGTAACACTAGGCGCTGAGAGCCCAAAGAGGAGGCGGAGGCACACAGCAGCAAGAAATAGGGCTGGGCTAAGGCTGGGGCTGAGGGGGAGGGAGTAGAGGGTGTGTAGGAGAAAGAATCAAGAGGTGAACAGAGGTTCAGGCTGAAGCCTGGGTTTTGGGGTGAAAAGTCTGAGGCTAGACTGGGACAATTGGAAGAACCAGGGAACCACGCAGAGAAGCATCCAGGAGGCAAAGGATTCCCCCGTCCTGGAACTGCAGCTGCAATGATGGATGAGAGTGAGGTGGAGAGGCAAAAGCTCAGGAAAGTGAGAGTGGGATAGTGACAGGTAGGTGACAGATGTAGGGTCCTGAGTCGGTTCTGCCACTGATGACTTGCTGGCTTCAAGCCGGAGGTTTCCTGTATATAACATGTGGGGGTGGGGTGGGGAGTGGTTATCCCACAATGGGCTAAGGTCTTCATTCTCCCCAGGCTTGATCTCGGGCTCACATCCCCAGACACCCTCCAGCCCAGATCTGCCGGCCAGGCAGTCTCCACCACATCCTCACCGAAGGCCCAGTGCACCTCGGCAGGGTTCTGTGGGCAGCGGGCGCAGGGAGTGCTACTTTGATACAGCGGCTCCCGATGCCTGTGACAACATCCTGGCGTGGAATGTGACATGGCAGGAATGCTGCTGTACTGTGGGCGAAGGCTGGGGCAGTGGCTGTCGCATCCAGCAGTGCCCAAGCACTGAGACAGGTGGGTTTGAGTGGGCAGGCGCTTGGAGTAGTAAGGCCTGTGAAGGTTCACTTCTTTGCTTATTAATGCATTCAAACGGGATGTGCGATACATCTATATACATACATACACATCTCTATCTATATATCACAGCTGTCCATGATATAAAATGTGACCATAGTAATAGCAGGGAGCTCTGGTGGCATAGTCTATAGGGAGTTGCACGAACTCAAAGGCTGCCTGTCTCTGGCAATGTGAATCCACCAGCAACTCTCACAGGAGAAAGATGGGTCACCAGAGCTCCCTACTACTGTACTGGTCAACTGGTGCCTGCCTTTTTATTTTTTTTTTTTAATGCCCTAAGCACATGCTTACCTGTGCTCAGTGGATAGTTCATCCCTATATAGGAATGGTTTTGCTAGATATGAGGGCAGGGAGGGGGTGTGGCAGTGGGGAGGGATGTGTGCGTATGTGGGGCACATTTGGAAATGAGGCTGGCTTGGGGCTGAGGTGGGCATACACAGGGACCAGTCTGAGAGTGGACCCAGGACAAGGTTAATTCTGAGAAAGGTGATATGGGCTGGTTCAGGTTCTGACACGAGTGTCCAAGCCCACCTTTGTCTCTATGTGCAGCTGAGTACCAGTCGTTGTGCCCTCATGGCCGGGGTTACCTGGCTCCCAGTGGAGACCCAAGCCTCCGGAGAGGTGAGCCCAAACTTCACTTTTCACTTTTCCTCAGCTCCCAGTCCCAGCTGGGGCGCCCTGTGCCTCATCCCACCTCTGTCTCTCATTCTGTTTCTATCTAGATGTTCACCCCCTCTCCATCTGTCTCTCTTTCCTGCCTACTCAAGTCCCACCTTTCCCACTCCTCCACATCTGCCCTATAAAAGATTCTGTTCATCCCATCTCTTGAGGTCTCCTATCACTTTTCCCACAGATGTGGATGAGTGCCATCTTTTCCAAGATCAAGTGTGCAAGAGCGGTGTGTGTGTGAACACGGCGCCGGGCTACTCATGCTACTGCAGTAACGGCTACTACTACCACGCCCAGCGGCTGGAATGTGTTGGTAGGATCCAGCCCCTGGCTTTCCAGTCCCTCTAGCCAGCGTTTCTACCAACCAGCCTGGGGAAGCCCTTCCTGGAGTCTAGACAATAGGAGAGGGATATAGGAAAGAGGTTGTTGAGGGGGCCGCCTCTTAACTGCTCCCCGCCTGCCTCCCTAGACAATGATGAGTGCGCTGACGAGGAGCCGGCCTGTGAGGGCGGCCGCTGTGTCAACACCGTGGGCTCTTACCACTGCACGTGCGAGCCGCCGCTCGTCCTTGACCGCTCGCGACGCCGCTGCGTCTCCAATGAGAGTCAGAGCCTAGGTAACCACGCCCACCCATCCGGCCCCGCCCTCATCCCGCCCAGGCAGTCCGCGCAGCCGCTCACTCGCTTGGTTCAGCACGGGCTGCACCCTCACAACGGCCACGCCCCACTCACCCAAGGACACGCCCCCAGGACACTCCCGCCCCCTCGGGTACTGGCTGAGTTCTGAGTCCTCTTTGTTAGGACCAACTGTTTTCAATCCAGCACCTTGTCAAAGACTGCAACTGCGTCCAAGGGCTTTTGATGTCAGATCACAGCTAATGAGATGCACGTGGCGCTGGGTAGAGGGCCGGTTTGGGCCCCCCTCTCCCTGCCCTGATCCATGTTCTCTCTGCCCCTAGAGGACAATTTGGGCGTATGCTGGCAGGAAGTGGGGGCTGACCTCGTGTGCAGTCGCCCACGGTTGGACCGCCAGGCCACCTACACGGAGTGCTGTTGCCTCTACGGCGAGGCCTGGGGCATGGACTGTGCTCTCTGTCCTGCCCAGGAATCAGGTACGGCCACCGCTGTATGTACACACGGGCATTGTCCCCTGGGTTTCAACTCCAGGTCCTCAGTAGTGGCTTCTTGGTCCCTCAGACCTCCATGTCCAAGCCAGTCCCTAAACCTTGGTCTTTTAAAGATAATGGCTTAAAGATCCCCACATCTCCTCCATGAGAAACCCCAAGGCCTGCTCAGCAGACCTGCAATTCCTGACTTCTAAAACCCCAAAACATAGCCCAAGAGGTCCTCTCCTCTGATTCTGGACTTTTAGCAACCCAAATAGTCACAGCCCCGTAGACCACAAGCCTCCAAGTCCCAGCCCAGTGGACACCCACATCTTAGGTGCTCAAAATCCAGCCCATAGCCCAGGATCCTCAAGGCTTGGCCCTTAGAACCTCTGAGTTTGAGCCCCAGTCTGAAGACTAAGTCTTTAGGTTCTTAGCCTGGCTCTCCTGAGGCCCTTAAACCCCAGCACTGTGGGATCCCAGGTCCAGCCTTCAGCGCCTCAATCCAGGCTCTAGAAACTCTGAACCCGGCCTTCCTTGAGCCCTGGTCCCTGCCTTCCAAGTCCCTCACATGTCCAGCTTTAGTTGGATGCCATTTTCTGGCCCCTGCTCTGAGCTGTCCTTCCCAGAGTGGAAACATGAATAGTGGATGCTGTGACGAGGGGGGCTGATTGTGTGCCTGGCTTCCGCTCACAGATGACTTTGAGGCTCTGTGCAACGTGCTGCGCCCTCCTGCATATGGACCCTCGCGGCCCGGTGGCTTCGGACTCCCCTACGAGTATGGCCCAGACCTAGGCCTGCCTTACCAGGGCCTTCCCTATGGCCCCGAGTTGTACCCACCACCTGCGCTACCCTACGACCCCTACCCTCTTTCCCCTGGGCCCTTCGCCCGCCGCGAGGCTCCATACGGCGCGCCACCCTTCGACATGCCAGACTTTGAGGACGACGGTGGACCCTATGGCGAATCTGAGGGTCCTGCACCACCCGGCCCGAGCACTAGTTGGCGATATCGGCCTCGCGATACCCGGGGCTCCTTCCGAGAGCTGGAGGAGTTGCCCGAAGGTGGAGGTTATACAGGTGAGCAGGGTGGGCTGAGTGATGGAGACTGAGAGGAGGAGGGAGAAGGAGAGACCAACACCTTCAGTGCGAGATATGGGACAGAGAGACGGACAACAGGGGAAGAGAGAGAGCAATGGAGAGCCAGTGCTCAGAGAGAAATGAGGATGGACTTAGGACGCTGGAGAGCTAGGTAGGGAATGAGTTGGGGAAAGAGACCAAGAGGAAACGGAGACAGGCAAAGAGAGTGATGGGAAGACCTGGAGACAAGGAGAAAGATTGAGGTGGGAGACCAAGAAAAAGGGGTGAATGAGCTGTCAGAGACTGCTAAGATCGAGGGAGATGGGGAGCGAGATGGGAACGTCAGTGAGATAACCCCGCATGTTCCCACAGCCCTGGAGCAGGATGCTCAGTTTAGAATGGGGTATCAAGGGAGCCCCACCATGGGTAGATAAGGGGTGAGAAGGCCCTTCCTTATTCACAGGCGCGCTGACTGGGCCCTATGAGGGTCTGGAGGCAGAGGAGTGCGGGATCCTGGACGGCTGCGCGCATGGCCGCTGTGTGCGCGTTCCCGAGGGCTTCACCTGTGACTGCTTCGATGGCTACCGCCTGGACATGACCCGCATGGCCTGTGTCGGTGAGCATGTGTACAGAGAGGCTGGACCAGAAATAGTTGAGCTGGGATGGGGCTGCTCAGGGACTTCCAGAAATGGGCTGCAGGAGAACGGGGTTTGACTGAATGACTAAGTCATTCAGGGTGCCAGAAGAGAGGACTTGACCAAGAGCTGCTGGGCCCTATCTCTCTCTCTCTCTCTCATACACTCTCTCTCTCTCTCTCTCTCTCTCTCTCACACACACACACACACACACACACACACACAGCAGTAAGAAGTTGCAAATCTTTGTTGGAGGAAAGAGATTTTCCCATAGGAGGGCTACTGGATTCAAAGCTCTGAGCTTTTGGTTACCAGCTTAACATGTAAAGCATTATGCCATTCAACACAAGGGCTTCTTTAAAACAGGATGTTGTAACGTATGATCAGTGGGGCTCTGACTTAAAGTGAAGCTATATGTACAACAACACAAAACACTGCCCAATCCTGTGCCATCCTTGAAATCTCTGCTATGCTCAAGCCTATTGTTGTAGCCACTGTGTAATCCTCACTGAGGATCTTCCTCTTTTTTTATTGAACCTCTGCTTTCCAAGCATGCTGTTCTTCACCAGAGACCCGCCTCTCCTGATAACATGCCCGAAGTTTCCTTACCTACGAAGAGCGTTCTGGCTTTCTGCCCTTGTTTGTTCTTTTGGTAGTCTGGTATATTCAGTGCTCTTTGCCAAAATCATAACTCAATGGCATCAATTCTTCTTTGGCCTTCCTTATTCACTGTCCAAATTTTGCATGCATGTGAGGCAATTGAAAATACCATGGCTTGAGTCAAGTGCACCCTTGTTCTTAAAGTGACATTTTTGCTCTTTAGTATTTTAATGATGTCCTTGGCAGTAGATTTGCTCAATGTAATAGGCAATTTAAGTTCTTGACTGCTGCTTCCATGAGCATCCAAGTAAAATGAAATCTTTGACAATGTCAGCCTTTTCTCTGTTCATCATGATGTTGTTTATTAGTTCAGTTGCAAGAATTTGTGTTTTCTTTGAAGTTTAACAAGTTAGAAGGATAAAGTCCTGCAAATAAGATTACCAAGGATCCCAGAGCGTTCCTGGGCAATTTATTTGACCTTTTTAGAGAGTCTCAGGCTTCCTGTCTATGAAATGGGAATATTAACGATACTTACTTATTTTAGATAGCAATAAAGCAGAGTGATTTACAGTTGAGGGCTTTGAGAAAGTAAGAGGCCTAAGGCTCAGCCCAGCAACTTGCTAACTCTGTAACTCTGGATTGTTCACTGTCCCTTGTTTAATTTTTTTCGTTTGAAAACTCTTCAGAGAGTTGTGGTGAACATTGTTAATACTGATTTCAGAAAATACTGGGCTCTGTATATAACGAGGCTCAGAAAGCAGAGTTGAATTCCACAAAGTCTCCACGGTCAAGAAGTTCCCCACAGTCAAGAAATGACTGAGCCAGGTATTGAAATAAGACAGGGAATGGGCATCCTGAGTCCTGGAGAGCTGGCCTACGGTGTGACGTTGGGTCAGGGTCTTTCCTGATTTGGTCCTTGGTTTGTGCTCCCCTAAAGTGAAAAATTCATCATGGATGATATTCTTGATATCCTCTAACAGCTCATCTGCACTTTGTTCATTGGTGTCCAAGGCCACCAACCTGTTCTTGAGATGATTTTTAAATTCAGGTGGGATAGACTCAAGGTCATATTTTGGTTCTTATGGATTTGATTTTATTTTCTTTAGCTTCAGTTTGAACTTGCCTATGAGTAGTTGATAATCTGTTCCACAATCAGCACCTTGCCTAGTTATCACAGCTGTTATTGAGCTTCTACAATGATTCTTTCCACAGATGTAATCAATCTGATTCCTGTGTAGACTGTCAGGTGAGGTCCATGTGTACAGCAGCTGTTTGTGTTTCTTATAAAAGGTATTTGCAATGAATAAATCATTGAAGGTACAAAATTCTATCATTCTACCTCCAGCTTCATTTCTGTCACAAGACCATATTTTCCAGTTACTGATCCTTTTTCCTTGTTCCCAACTTTTGCATTTCAGTTACTCATAATAATTAATGCATCTTGTTTGCACATTCAATTTATTTCTGACTGCAAAAGTTGATAGAAATCTTCTATTTCATTACAAAGACAGAGGAAGAAAAGACTGAGATGGATGTCAGAAGAGACAAATATTGCATTAGAACACTAAGAAGCCAACACAAAGGGAAGTGAAGGAGCTGAAGAGAAGATTTCAAAGGGCAGCTTGGCAAGACAAAGTATTACAGCAAAATATCCAAAGAGCTGGAGCTAGAGAAGCAAAAGGGATGAACTTGCTTAGCATTGCTTAAGCTGAAGGAACTGAAGAACAAATTCAAACCTCGAGTTACAATACTTAAAGATGTTATAGGCAGAATACTGAATGATCCAGGATGTATCAAAAGAAGATGGAAAGAGTACATAGAGTCAATGAACCAAAAAGAATTGGCTGACAAAGACAAATTTCATGAAACAGCATATGATCAAGAGGAAATGGTGATAAAGGAGGAATTTCAAACTGTTCTGAAGGAATTGGCAAAAATTAAGGCCCCAGAAATTGATGGAATACCAACTGACACCTTTTAATTGTGCTTACCAGTTTGTGTCAAGAAATCTGGAGAACAACTACCTGGCCAACTGACTGAAGAGATCCATATTTATTCTCATTCCCCTCAAAAAAGGTGATACAACAGAGTGTAGAAATTATCAAATATCACTAATTTCACATGTGAGCAAAATCTTGCTGAAGATTATCCAAAAATGACTGGAACAGTAAATTGACAGAAAACTACCAAAGTACAGGCTGGGTTTAGAAGAGGTAATGGCACTAGAGACATCACTGCCAATGTTAGATGGATTTTGGCTGAAAGCAGAGAAGAATGTCTATGTTTCATTGACTACACAAAGGCATTTGTGTGGATCACAACAAATTGTGGCTAACATTGAGAAGAATGGGAATCCCAGAGCACCTGACTGTGTTCGTGCAAAACCTATACTTGGACCAGGAGGAAGTCGTCAGAACAGAGTAAGGAAACACTGCAAGGTTCCAAATCAGGAAAGGAGTTTGTCAATAATGTAACCTGTCTCCAAACCTTTTCAATAAATATGCAGAACAAACAGATCATTCCAGAGGCTGGTCTTTATGAGGAAGAATGTGACATCAGAATTGGAGGAAGACTTGTCAACAACTTGCCTTATGCAGATGACACAACCTGCTTGCTGAAACCAAGCAGGACCAGAAGCATCTTCTGCAGAAAGTCAAGGGCTAGTCTTCGATATGGATTGAAGCTCAACATCAAAAAGACAAAGATTCTCACTACTGGCTCAATTGGCAGCATCATGATATAGGAAGAAGAGATTGAGATTGTCAGTAATTTCAGCTTGCTCAGGTCCACGATCAACACCCTTGGAACCAGCAGCCAGGAAATCAAAAGGCAAATTGGGTTAGGAAAGTCTGCAGTCAGGGACCTCTCCAGAGTGCTGACGTGCAATGATGTCAGTCTAGAGACTAATGTGTGCCTGATCCAGGCCATGGTCTTTGCAGTTACTCACTATGCATCAGAGAGCTGGACAATGAATAAAGATGACAGATGTCATCAGTGGAGTTGTGGTGTGGGAGAAGAGTCTTGAACATACTTTGGACTGCCAAGAGAACAAACAGGTCTGTTCGGGACAGAGTGAAACCATCTTGCTCTCTGGAGGCAGGGATTTTGAGGCTCATCTCACATACTTTGGGCATGTTGCCAGGAGGGACTGGTCTTTGGAGACCGACATCATGCTTGGAAGGGTAGAGGGACAATGCAGGAGAGGAAGACCCCGGATGAGATGGATTAATACAGTGACTGGGGTAATAAGGGCAGGTGTATCGGAGACAGGGATATTGAACTCAGGCTAGGACAGAGTTCAGAGCTGTTGTGTGACTTGACTGAACATAACAAAATGGCATAGAGAACTCTTGTGGCCAAGTGAGTATGGAGTTTTGCTGCCTACTTAAAGGCAGTGAGTTAAAATCTACCTGGATTTTAACCTGATTCCTTTCCTAGAGAAAAAGATGGGCAGTCTCCTGTTTTGCATACTGTCTCTGAAAACCAACTTGGAGGGTCAGCCTTGATGACATATTCACAGATTAATCAGGAGGATAATGTTGGTATATGTTGCTGACTATACAGTAAGCATTTATTGTTGCTGATATTATCATCTTCATTGTCATTATTTTCCTAACAAAAACCTAACTAGATTCCTAACTAGTAACCCATTTTACAAAACATGAAGCTAAACCACAGAGAAGGTAAGTCATCTGCCCAGGTTACACAGCCAGCGGTTAGCAGAGGCCAGCAGGAGGTTCAGCATCTAGACTCCCACATCTCAGGTGCCTAAGGGTACAAAGAGGTGTCCTTTCAGGTCCCCAGCCCTAGTCAGCGCCCCTTGTGCCCTCTTCCAGACATCAATGAATGTGATGAGGCGGAGGAGGCTGCCCCGCTCTGCGTCAACGCCCGCTGCATCAACACCGACGGCTCCTTCCGCTGCCTCTGCCGGCCAGGATTCACACCCTCGCCCCAGCCTCACCACTGCGCCCCCGCCCGGCCCCGGGCCTGAATCCCAGCCCGGGCCTGAAGCACTCGCCCCGCGCCTGCGTGCGCAAGTGTCTGCCGAGCTCTCACCCGCCTGCTTGCGCGCATGCGCAGGTTCACTAGCTCCTACCAGAAAGGTTGACAGAGGGATGAATGAGGGTCGCCCCTCACTGCTCCCGGCAGCTCTCTGCCCCTTATATCGACGCTGCTGGCCCAATCCCAGCCCACGATCCCCTTCACATACACCCTACTTTTTATAAAAACTTCAATTAAAGAACACTTATTTTGTATGCTTTGCCTCTGTTGGTCCATCTGTGGGTTTCCTCATCTGATTCTTTAAGCCATAAAACTTTGAGCCCCATTCCCATTCATATGACAGCTCTGTCTCTTAATCTATGTGTCTCTGTGGCTTGGTCTCTAGTGAGGCCTTTCTTTGTGTATCTTTTTCTCTTGCCACTTTTTAATATCTCTTATTGAATAAGAGATTTTTGCCTCTGTGTTTTAATATTACTGGCTCCACCCAATACATCTTCCTCTTTTTGTGGGGACTAGGTAGTCTAATGGGTAGGGAGTTGCATTGCCAGCCCAAAGGTGGGTAGTTCGAACCCACTATCTATGGGAGAAAAATTGGCAGTCTCCTCTGCAATTTATAGCCTTTAAAAACCCACTGGTAGCAAGTTCTGGTGGCGTAGTGGCAAGAAGGTGTACTGCAATCCCAGAGGTGCACTGTTCAAATCCACCAGATGCTCTGCTGGAGAAGGAGGAATAATCTCCTCCTGTACCAGTCAGATCTGATTTGACAGTACACACAACACACACACACACAAAATAATAATAATAATACCCAACAAAAAACCCTACTGGAGAATCAGCTATGAATCACTACCAACTCTACAGCATTCTGAGGGTCATAAGACCCTCAGTTCCCCAGGAAGGAATGGAATGGGGCAAACTCGAACCCTGCTCAGGGGTGCTACTTCCTTTATCAATTGGATAGCAAAAAAAACCCCAAAAAACCCAAAACCCTCACATGTACTGACAAATGGGTTGTGACCCCTGGATACCTGTGTGCTCCCAAGGGATTTCAATGGCTGATTTTTTTAGAAGTAGATAACCAGGCATTTGTGCTAAGGCACCTCTTGGTGGACTAGAACATCTAATCTGTTGGTTAGCCTTTGGGCCTATTAATCATTTGTACCACTCAGCTGCATTTTCCCTACTCCTCAGAGAAATCATGAACCATCCGGAAAGCAGAAAGCAGAGGGGAGAGGATGGGGCAATCTCCGGCTGAGATTGGGCTGTGGATATAGCAGGGGGAGAGCAGTCTGGGAGTGTCCTGTTTGAGGACATGTGTGGAGGTAGGGATGAACCATATGCGTGATATCCAGATCACCCTCCCCCACATATCCTTGCCTATTTCTTGTCTATGAGTGGAGTCCAGACTTCTCTTATACCCAAAACAGAGCACAGCCTTTACCACCATAAACTCAAGTTGCAGATGTAGGGTCATGAGGTGAGGGGCCCATGGAAGTGTGAGAGGCATGATGAAAGTCAAAGTTTACAGGAGTCATTTATTGTCATTCTCCACCCACCAATTAGTACTATCTCCCCCAAGCTCTCAAATGCTTTAGGGGTCAGATAAATGATATTTGAGGGAAACAGATGCAAGATAATGTCTTACCTAAAGGTTGGAATGGAATGGGGGGGGAATCACCCCACTTTTAGTAGTATTTATGTTTAAACCATTCTGGTAGGTCTTATCAGGTTCCTGGGCAGGGCAGGTGATTAACACCGCAGCCCCATGGGGAAAGAATCGACAATCTCCTGTGTAATTTTAGTGCTTCTGAAAAACCTGCTGGAGGGTCAGCTATGAGTTGATTACATCTAGATGGCTTACTGAAACAACAATAATAACCAAAAGGTGAATGGTTCCAACCCAGTTGGTCGTACCACAGAAGAAAGGCCAGGCAATTTGTCTCCATACAAATTGCAGCCAAAATAGCCCAATGGAACAATCCTACTCTGTTTGCAGGAGTCAAAATTGACTGGAAGGCAATATTTTTGTTTGTTTTTTGTTTTTGTGGGTTATAACTAGCCCAAGAGCCACTGGTTCAAATATTCTAAGTACGTTAATGGGGCAGGGGAGCTCCTTCTGGACTTGACCCACCCCATCCCATCTCACCCCTGCTTCTGGGGCTCAGGAGGAGTCACATTTCAAAAAATTCTGATGCAGGGATTGTTGAGAGGGTTAAATGGATGGAGAAATGCTGACCATTTACATGAAGGCAGTTCTCAAGCAGTTGTGGTAATCCTGAGCCTCCAGGAAATGCTGAGAGTGAGGACAGACAAGTCTTTTCCTGTCTTCTTCTGTCAACGTGCTGAGAGAAAGGGCAAGACCCCAACCTCTTCAACAAAACTGTGAGAAATACCCAGCACAGGAACTCTGGTGCCGAGAGCGAGTCAGAGTCCCCAAGGGGTTCGGGAATCTATAGAGTGGGTCAGAAAGTGATTTTCCAGCTGGTACAGAGAGCCTTACCCAAATAGCGTCTCCCTTATTAATTCACTCACCAAACATTCTTTAATCTGCTTTGTAATATGTGGTTGTTGTTGTTGTGCACTGTCGAGTTGGAACCAACCCATAGCTGACCCTCTAGTGAATTTTCAGGGGCAATAAATCACACAGAAAGAGATTGCTCATCATTCTCCAGCAGAGTATCTGGTGGATTTGAACTACGTACCTTTGCTTTGGCAGTTCTAGGCCACCACAGCTCCCTAATAAGTGGTGGAGACACAAATTTATCCTACTTTGGAGTGTAGGAGTTAGAGAGGGCTCCTTGGAGGAGGAGATGTCTAAGCTGAGACCTGAAAGATGTAGGGAAGGGGACGGGCTGGAGTGGTAAAGAATGTACCAGAGGGTGAGCCCCTGCAAAGATCACTGCCACCTAATTGATTCCAACCCATGGTGACCCTTTATCAGGTTTATGAGGCTGTAAATCTTCACAGGAGACTGGCCATCTTTCTCCAACAGAAAGATTAGTGGGTTTGAAAAGCCAATCTTTTGGCTAACCCAGTTCATTATGTCCTGGGCTTCCTTATAAGTAAGAAAGGGAAGTACAGATTTACTTAAGTATGCATGACTCTTTTTGTGCCAAATTTTCATTGAACAAAGCTATCTGGCTCTTGCCTTTATGGGAGCTGCAGTGGGAACACAGTGACATGTGCTTTGAAGAGTACTGCCTGCGACCAGGAAGGCGCACACAAAGGGGTCAGGGCTGGAATGGGGGGGAAGCAGAGGCAGCGCAGCCTAAGCTGGAAATGGCAAAGATCTGGAGCTGTGGGTGCCCAGAGCAGGCCCTACCTAGAAAGACCATCAGGGAAGATTGTCCATCAAGAATGGAAATCTTAGAGGTCGAATTTCAGTATTTTAGAGGTGGAGTGAAAGCTGTCTTCCGAAAAATCCTCCATCTCCTCTCTCCCTGTTACATTTCAGCGTTCATTCTCCCAGTATACTCTGACTCAGAGGCCTTTGGCATCAGCCAAGACCCAATATGTTCTGTTCTGGAATGTCCAGAGATAAATGGTTCTGGTGGTCAAGGCGCTTGCGCGACAAGCTCTGCAGCGCCCCCTCATGGTCACTGCACGTTGGCGCGGTTTTTGCTCGCTCCGCCCTCTAGAGGCCGGCGCTCATTCGTCATCAGCGAGTGTTGCATAGACAGGTCTTCTGACTAGGGTCGTCTTCGTCATCACCAACGCAGCTATTATGTAAACAGCGTTTCCTCCTACCAGGCTCTGTGCTGAGCATCAAAGCTCCTCTTTTAATTCTCCTATCAGTCCTATGAAATGGATACAATTCATTTGAAGCACAGATAAGTAAAGCAAGTTGCACACAACTCTAAGTAGCAGAGTCTAGGTCAAACTTAAGCAGTGTAGCTCCAGAGACCTTTCCCTGAACCATTCAAATATAATGGTGAAATGCAACAAGAAGATGGCTAGGATTTGTTTCAAAGTAACACCACAGAACAGCTAAAATCCAAGATGACCCGCTGCCAGCCAGATTACTCACCTCCGGAGTCGTATGTGACAAAGAGAACTCACTTCTTTTCTCTTGATTCTGCCCCATGGCGATCAGGTTTCTGATACTGTAAATCTTTAGGGGAGAAGCTGCCCATCTTCCTCCTGGAGAGTAGCTGGTAAATTCAAACCACTAATGTTTTGGCTAGCAGCCCAACTCCTAATGCATGAACCACACCACCAGGCCTCCTGTGTGGGAGAGGAATTTTTAACTTTAAGTCCTCATGTTTTGATGTCTCTTTGTTACAGCACTGCCCTGGTTATCTACTGCTGTGGGTGGGTGGCTTTAACAAACAAATTTCTCTTCTCATCGTTTAGGAGGATAGAAGTATGAACTCAGGGCTCTGACCAGCAAAGCCAGATGATCTGAACTGGCTCTTAGCCTCTGCAGAGTGTTTGGACCACCCCCTTGGACCTGGAAACACCTAACCCTAATCCTCTGCCTCCCTCCGTGGCCATTTTGCCTTCTCGCTTATCACAGCTTCCAAAAAAAAAAAAAGGATCACCAGTCTTCAAGCTCCTGTCAAAATGTCACCTTTACCTAGTGCAAGAGTATAGTCAAGGACCTACCGCTGAACCATCAGAGAGAGTGGAGAGGAGGATCCTGGCCATGCCAATCCACAGAGCAAGGACAGTTGACAAAAGAAATGGCCTACATTGATGGTCCTGGTATTGTGACACTTCTGAGACAAAAGAGAACAATAGATTTTAGGAGAGATGATGTCCCACCCAAGCCACCACTGAGGAAGACATACATCCTTTCCAGGTGGCTCAGGAATACCAACAGTAGAGTGGAGAGGAAATGGGTGGACAGAGGTGAGTGGAGGCTTGAGCCATGAAACTAGGATTGGCTAGGGGCTGGGAATGAGTGGTGCTGGATGCTGTCAGAGCAGGGGTGGGAGTGGGAATAACTTGCATGTGCCTAAGGGGGTGGCGGGCAGGGCCAACACCTGA